ATTTGCAATGCAAAATCAATGGCCATAACCTCAGCTTGTAATACTAATCCTCTAAACTCGCACACTTTTTGTGTTGCACCTAGGACCTTGCTTTCACTGTTTCTAAGAACAACACCCATATTAACCAACTCTTGATTTGGAGGAATTGCTGCGTTAGTGTTGATTTTAATAAAGCCTCCCTTGGGTGGCTACCGCTCAGTTATCTACACTACTTTATTAGGATTCCGAATCCGATTCCCAAACTCACGAACACTTTGAAAGTCTGCTAAATAATCACAAAGCCATTTGACAGTATGCTCTGGCCTAGTGTGTAGATGTTTGAAAGAACAATTATTCCGATTGTGCCATACAACCCACAAAATGACTGCCACTCATTCTTTGCAATCCTTATTCAGTGCTAAAAAGGAATTCAAAAGGTCACCAATATAAGATTCATTCCTTATATTTCTAAGATCAAAGAAAGGACATGACCCACTCCAAACTAGTTCACTCCACTTGTATTTGAAGAAAAGATGGCGGTAAGATTCATCATCCACTTCACAAATGCTGCAAATTTTATCAATTTCTACCCCATGATTAAGCAAAGCCAATTTAGAGGGCAAAATTTCCCGTACAAACTGCTAAAGGAAGTGTTTTATTTTGGGAGGTATATCCAAAAACTAGATAGAATGCCAAACTGGTTTCATCAAATCATTATATTTTTGAAAATCCAAATCATAAATAGTATTCCAAGCAAACCTGTAGGCAGACTTAACTGTAAACTTACCATTAGCAGTGCACTTCGAAATGAGATGATTTTTAGTGCATCTACTGTTTAGTGGGATGTGCATTATTTTTTCAATGTCCTTAGGCAAAAAAAGTTGGCACAGCTTCACCATGTCCCATTGCCAAGATTGGAAGTTGATAAAAAAAACTCACTCGAGTGTCCAAGTTCAGTTCTTGAGATATGTCCAACGACATAAACACATGTGAGTCCTACCCTCACTAGTCTCTCTAGATTCGGATGCTC